ATATCCCACAAAGCAAACTTCGCGACTCATATGCTCTATACTCCAACAAAGGCTGACACTTGGTACCGCCAACTCCTCGGGTAAAGGCAACCTACCCTTGGCGCTTCGATCTGGTTGCATATATTTGTAACAGTACTGGTATGAAACCGAACATAATTCCATACTATTATACTAAGAAAAGTGAATTTTTTCTAGAGGGAAAACTCTTCAAGCGCTAGCATGGGTCAAGCTGGCTATAGAGTTATAATAGAATCAGTTCCTATAGCTTATTTTTGGCAATGTTTTACGTCCCGGAAGAGCAGACTGTAAATCTCTACTCGATACCTTTTTTCTTTTGCTGGTTGCCTAACGCTCGCTAATAAGTGTGACCTGTTTTGTGCCAATTAATTGTGAATAGCTACTGAATTATTATATTGTAGAGAAGTACGAATACTACCAAGGGCTTTGTTGATTTCTTCCTCATATTCAGGTGGATTGGCTCTGATATCTGGTAAACCAAGCTACTTCCTTGATATCGTATAGTCCATCATCAAACAGGGTCCAATTCACTTATCCGACGAAGATGTCGCCGCGTCCTAGGTTGCATGTAACATAGAAGCAAAAAGCAAAACGAGGCTCGCTCGCTGTAGCTCGTCAAACTCAATAGTCTCGTGAGCCAGGCACAAGGTCTCCAGGGTAAAATTCCATTATCTGAAATCATATACAATTTCTTCGGAAATGAGACGCTAAGCGGAGCATCCCTTGCAGTGTATGTGCAGTCAAAAGAAAAGCTAAACAATTCATTCACTTTGAGCGAGCAGCCGTTGAGAGCCTCAAGCGATATTTTTTAAACACATACACAGACCTATCGATATATCACATTCATTGCTGCAGGGCTTAAAGGACAATGTAACTCATAAAGCCTAGCATATGATACCTATCGACGATATTCAACCACAGCCCTTACAGCTTGGGAACATACGACCAGATTTAGTTAGTCAAAAAGGCAGATTATCGAACTTAACAAGGGTCCATATTGTCTGTATACAGCTATACATGTAGCGGTCGTAAGATAATGACAACTTCGGCGCCGGTATCGTTCCTTGGTATATGGAAACTTCACCGTATTAAATCACGTTCGTAAGTTGAATGCAATTTTTACATAGTTTTAACAACGTACCAATTCGACACGAACATCAGTGCTCTACGGCGCCCTTTGCTGTTACGTTACGTTCAGGCTCTTATGACAGCTTACACCAAGGCAATGCCGTGTAAGCCGATTTGAAACATTGTTTATTGCTTTTATGTTCAGCATTGGCCCGCATTTTTTTCTGTTCCTATTGTGCGCATAATGAAAATGAACAACAGGTCGAAAGAACTATAAATGATTCGTTGTTGAAGCTATGAAACAACGACGACCACCATACTTTCCATGTTTTCTTAGCCCCTAGCAGCTTCTCTTAATGTCGCTAACAACCAGCCCTTATATGGTAGGCCAGTTAACTAAGTCGATCAATAGCGATTGCCGAGCTTCGAAAAATAAATTTACCAGAATCGAAAGTCATTGCAGTTGATAGGTCTTTAGCTTAGCTTTTCCATGCTTTGCACGCACCGAGCGCGTTTTGCATTCAATATATTATGTGGTTATTATACAGATTAGTTCCCCCTCACCTTCGGGACATAGGAAATTGCTCTATCAGAACCTTTATAAGCTAGTGCATTGGTTCGACATTGGTCGTAATCAAACTGGTAGAAAAGCGTAAGTTGCTTCAAATAACTTTACGTAATTTTCTTGTATTAATCGAAAAAGCTGACAAGAAGAAAATGTCCATTGAGAAGAACCATGAACAGGTGCTCGGAACGTGAGCTCATTATCAAACGTACTTTCCGAACGAATCAGACGAGCTATTTTTGGATCACTAACGAAGTTAAGAACAAATATTTTTTGCAATTAAATTGAGCTTGACGTGGCCTTTTTTTCTTCGCTCGTATGTTTTCTTTCAGCAGAGGACACTATTAATCGGCCTCGTTGTACTTACTCGTCGTGTAAGTTGCGTGTAACTGTTAATGTATGCAACTAAATTTCCAGCCTGACTACTTTTTTCTTGTACAGTATCCTATAATATGATACCTCACTACAATATTCAGTAGCTGTCAGATATTTGTATGCTGTTTCGTTAAACTCTGTGGGTTGTCAATTTTATGGTTCGATGTACGTTTGAGTATTTGGGTGGACCATATAGCAGTAAAAAAAAAAAATCGTCGTCTCAACAGTTAACGTTTTTACTTAGTATTACCTAGTAGTTTTTGCAAAATTGTTACATAAAATGCCGCATACAATGTTCATGCTTTGGCACTAGCACGCTTTCGATGTAGCGTTTCGTAGCTTTTATCACGCTTGAAATGATTTGCCAAAAATACCTTTACAGTGAACGCATATTCCTATGCATGAAATAAGGGACGCACGTGTGGTTTAACCAGTCGCCACTTAGAGCAAAGCCAACTCTGCGTATCCACTTGACGGCGTCCACTATGACCCCGTCATCTCTAGTAATTAGAATCTGCCCCCGAAAAAATATATATAACCTGTGTTTTTATTGTAGATCGGTCGTGCTTGGTGTTCAGGTTAGCTAATATTCGTCGCTATAATGGATCTACATAGTGCTGGACTGCAAGCAATCCAGTTCGAGTTTCCCGCAGGCCTAATCTGAGCCTTACGTCATCTACCACTGTTTAGCCGAAGCTTATGGTACTGCCTTGTCTGGCTTGCACGCCTAACGAATCGTATCTTGTTTATCAGGTAGACTAAGGTAAGTTAAGGGAGGGTCGAGTGTTAACGATATAATCAAGTTCAGTGGAAGTACCAGCAAACGAGTGAATCAGGCAGAAGCTTGTTGATATCAAATGATGCTCAAAAAAAAACCACTACGTTATTCTAATATTGACGTAATTGAATCTGTATGCATGTAAAGATGTGAGTCTACCTAATTCACTACGCACGCATTCTCTTCAACGATTCGTGTAGAATACATAAGGACGCCGTACCACAGGCTGTTAATATATGATACTCCATCTTATAATCATTGAACGAACGCCAGACAGAACATTATAGATAATAAGTAATAGAACCAAATCCGCTGAGAGCTATTTACTTTTTTACCATAGATTTCAACCGTCACACACAACGTGTGGGTCTGTAAAATCTGTGCTGGATATGTTAGAGCCTGATATGTCCCCGATGAAGCTTGATCTCGTCACGCTCGGGCAAAAATACGCTCATCGCATGGCCACAGTTACATGACAATGTATTTATTTTTCCAAATACATAACATGTCTAGAGCGATTTTTGTTTTAAATGACTTTTTTGAACATTTAATTCAGGAAGAACTATGAAGAAGCAACTTCATCGAGATGCCATATTACGCAGCTAGCCTAAAACGAACCCCATATGTAGAGAGTAATAATTTAACTAGTATGTAGTTTTGAGTAATATTTATAAACAGTTTCTGAGAGGTTTAACAAAAGTCCAAACCGGTCACCTTACAAACGCGCTCCACGTGGTCAACCGCTCAAATAAAACACCTCTTACAAATTTCACTTATTTGTCTACCTCCCGTATGTTGATATGACTTCTATTTTTTTTTTCGTCTTTCTTCTGTGTGAGTTTGAATGAGACATATTATGTTTACAATAATATGATAACAAGATAAAGCAGCTGATAATTCCGTTCTATTGTAGTCGTGTCGAATCATTCCTAAAAGCAGTTTTATACCAATTGTAAAAAACGTTTTTTTAGTGGAAGTGTGGGCGTCGCATTTTCTTTTTTGCGATCATAATCTCAGTTTTCCCCGCGAGAACCAATAGTCTGGCAATACTGAGGGTGCGTCATTGATGTCGCCATAACTGCAATGCTGTATTACCTATCCTAATGAATAGATAATGTGGATAGGCATCGTCAATTAGTTACTAAAAGAACTTGTCCTTAATCTAATCTCACTAGGACCAGCGTTGCCGTTTACTTTGCTAGCAGAGCACTACTTCCCGTCTGCCACGAGCATGTTTCAGGTGAAAAAAATTCAGTTTTCTATTTAACATTGTAGAAACAATTCAAATCATCAAAATGTTCGCATTCGTATAGAATACTTCCAATTTTTTCTTCATCAGACTTTCTAACTTTCCAGATGCCCGTAGGTTTCAAAAATCAAGTTTACAACTTCT